AAAAAAAAAAAAAAACAAACAAACAAACAAAAAACTCTTTGACTTCATTATTCTAACCTTTCTCCCTTTCTGATCATCCGTTTTTATGGCATTCCCAGAAGCTAGGGATGGTCAATGAGATATAATGAAGGTCTGGTGAGAAAGCTTTTGATACTGAACAAGCTGGGGGGGGGGATGCACTCCTTCAAATTTCTTCCAGCCTATAATCTGAATGATATCTGGAGCTACAGCAGCCATCCTGTGACCATGAGAGAAAAATGGTGAAGAGAATTAGAGATGCCAGCCAAGATATAGCAGAGCTACTGAATGGGATATATTTGCCTAGCTTTAAAGATGGAGAAGCATGGCTCTAAAGTACATGTGAATCACAGGAAATCTTGTTAATGCAGATTTTTGAATCAGTAAGTTTGGGTAGAGTTTACCATCATTTCAGCACAATCTGCCTCCAAGTGCTTTTCGTTATGGTAGGAAACAAGATGGGTATTTAATACCACATGTTTCATTTTAACCTCTAAAGTTCTTAACCTTCACAGGACTATTAAATCTATGTGCTGGTTCCATTTCTTCTTAAAAACTTTACTACTAATTTGCCTTGAAATAGCCATGTACCATGTAAAACAAAAGTTACAAATATAGGCAGCCTGTGATGTAAGAACTCCTGAGAATGGCATTTCAAAACCAACCAGCCAACTAGTCACGGGCAAGAGGTTAGAACTATTCTGAGAGCTGGCCTTGGTGGTTTTAACTTAGCACATTCACTCAGCATGACGTCGTCCTTCAGGGGCAGCCTGTTTAGTAACCCATCATCTAGGGTCCTGTAGTGGGATATGGTCAAAGTGCCCTTCACCAGCATATAATTTGGTTTCAACATCAAGTTCACCATGAGAGCATATAAACACCACACATGTAATTTAAAATTCACAAATAGAAAACACTGCCCAGTTGTTTTTAGAACACACACCACTGGGGAAGCTATAGAATAGAAATGCCACCAAGGTGCACAGTAAATGGCTTTCCTTGTCATCTTAAAATTGGCACTGCACTCTTTCTACCCTCTTTGTACAGAGTATATGGGAAGACTTCCTACAGAGAATGTGGTAAGGAAAGTTTCAATTTGTTCTCTCCCAACATTGTCAACAAGCAGTTGGGGGGAAAAAAAACTTGCCACAAATAGAGCTCTACCCCCCAAAAAAGTAATGTGATATATTTCACTTTTCCATTTAAATGGAAAGACTTTTTCTTTTCAAGAAAAACACACAGGAGACAGAGAACAAAAATCTAACAGCAAAGAAGTAAGCACCTATTAAGGATGAGAGGAAGGGATGGGACAGGGGGTGGGGAAGCACAGCTAGTGGTTAAATCCCAATTCAGCAGCTTCAGTTCTAGAAAGGTCTCCTTGCCCCACATTAGGTGTGGGTACCTTATACTTGCTTTTTATTTTATGAATCCTGTATTATTTACATCTTTTACACTTAAGTTTGAATATGTTATTTCCATACTATAAGAAATAATAGATATAGAAGAATACATCCTTTTTTTTTTTTTTTTTGAGACGGAGCCTCAAGCTATCCCCCTGGGTAGAGTGCCATGGCATCACAGCTCACAGCAACCTCCAACTCCTGGGCTCAAGCTAGTCTCCCGCCTCAGCCTCCCAAGTAGCTGGGACCACAGGTGCCCGCCACAACGCCCGGCCATTCTTTGGTTGCAGCCATCATTGTTGTTTGGCGGGCCCAGGCTGGGGATTCGAACCCGCCACCTTAGGTGTATGTGGCTGGCGCCTTAGCCGCTTGAGCCACAGGCGCCGAGCCGAAGAATACATCCTTAATGACACTTTTTTTTAAAAGACATTCTCACTTTGTTCCTCCTGGTAGAATGCTGTGCTGTCATAGCTCACAGCAACCTCAGACTCTTAGGCTGAAGTGATTCTCTTGCTTCAGTCTCCCGAGTAGCTGGGACTACAGGCGCCTGCCACAACACCTGGCTATTTTGTAGAGACAGAGTCTCGCTCTTGCTCAGACCAGTCTTCACCAGCTGCCTTGGCCTCCCAGCATGCTAGGATTACAGGCATGAGCCACCACACCCTGTCCCTTAATGACACTTTTTAAAATCAAGTTCAACCGAGGGTGGCGGGTTCAAACCTGGTCCCAGACAAACTGCAACAGCAACGACAACAACAACAACAAAAAAATAGCCGGGCATTGTGGTGGGCGCCTGTAGTCCCAGCTACTTGGGAGGCTGAGGCAAGAGAATTGCTCAAGCCCTAGAGTATGACCTGTGATGCGACGGCATTCTACCAAGGGCAACAAAGTGAGACTCTTGTCTCTAAAAAAAAAATAAAATAAAATCAAGCTCGAAGCAAGCAAATATAATATAATAATTTGGAAAATCACTTTAAATATGAACCATCATAAAAATGTGCAGAACTAGAAAAGAATAACAGTAAGGATAGGTTATTTCTAGAAGACAGGCAGGAATTAGAGAGGACTGTAGATGCATCAAGGATGCTGGTAATGTTCAGTTTTCAAATTGGGAAGGGGATTCAAGATTGCTCATATTTTGCATCATAACTTACCTGTATGTACAAATAACCTACAGTTTTTTTAACTGGTGGGGGGACAAGTTCCAGGACCTGATTCCGAGTTCCATAAAATCACCTCCTCCCCAGCTAGAATTCCACTGGCCCACTTCCATTCCCATGCACTCCATGATGCATGCTGAGAAGGTTACCTTCAGGCAGCACTGGTGATACTACAGACATCATGAAGTTAGCACTGTGATGTAAGCAGTTTGGGGTAGGAGCATTTAGCTTTTATGTATCACCAAACAATTTCCCATCCCATCCTTAATCTAACTCCAGTTGTCAGCAAGGGAGGTGAGCATGTCACTTGGCAGTTAAAACAAACATTACACTGTGGCAACAGTGTCAATCCATCCTCAAACCAGCCTGCTCCTTGACGCAAATATTGCTTCTTGAAGCTCTGTATCAATGGCTCTCAACCTGTGGGTCATGCATGATCCACAGGAACTGTATTAAAAGGTTGTGGCATTAGGAAGGTTGAGAACCACTGGTATATACCCTTAGTTCTTATGAATTTCACCATGTGATAGTCAACTGCCAAATGTACTGCATGATTCCCGGGCATTACGAGATTGCTTTGTGGTTCCCACTGTAATGAACGTGGGAATGGAAAACACATCATAATATGCTTTTTGGACAATTCTTGGAAACCAGCATAGCCCTGGACATAATCCTTGTGATTTTTGGTAAAAGTCAGTTAGCAAGGCAAGTTATCAAACCCTGGGTCATTACTATTGATGAACAGGTTTGGTGGTATTCTAAGCAAGAATTTCTGCCAATCTTCCATCCTAAGACTACAGCTCCCCACTGATGGCAGTCAGTAGGCAAATATTTAGGATAAAAAAAGATAGTTATACTTTCTGACTCTACCTGTTGTCTACTACATGATGGTTTGCAATGGATCCAAATTTTTTTTGAGTTTCTTGGTTAAAGAGCTTCACAGTCTTCCTTGACTTAACTTGCATGAGATTTCCTTCTTCATATTTATATAAACATAAAACATTTTATGGGTATGTAGGCTCCACTTCAAAAAAATACCCACTTTTGTGTGGTGGCTCATGCCTATAATCCTCGCACACTGGGAGACTGAGGTAGATGGACTGCTTGAGCTCAGGAGTTCAAGACCAGCCTAAAGAAGAATAAAACCACCTCTCTACTAAAAATAGAAAAAAAAAAATTAGCTAGGTGTCATGGCAGAAACCTGTAGTCCCAGCTACCCAGGAGGCTGAGGCAAGAGGATCCCTTAACCCCAAGAACTTGAGGTTGCTATGAGCTATAATGCCATAGCATTCTACCCAGAGTGACAGAGTAAGACTGTCTCAAAAAAAAAAAACAAAAAAATCCACGTATGAAAAAAGTCCAACTTGCTTTTTTATAGTAAGAAGCTTTCATTTGAGGTTTCACTGCAGATTTCCTATAAAGCAGGGGAGCAACCTTTCTCTGTGAAAGGCCAAACAAAATATTTCGGGCTTTGCTGCTCATACAGCACTCACTGCACTATTCAACACTGCTGTTATAGCACCAAAAAAGCCACAGACATTATGTAATGTACAGGCATGGCAGTGTGCAAAGAAAACTTTACAGAAACAAGCAAAAGGCCAGATTTGCCCCATGGTTTGTAGATCCCTGCTTTAAATAGTCAGGTCTAGAACATGTTTAAAAAAATCATTTCTAAATATCAGGGAGAAAACATCCATTTGTAGTTGTTTGCTCTCCTCAAACCTTCCCAACACTGTTCCCAAGTGCAAAGTCCAAGATTAATCTCCACTAGTCTGCAGGTCTCACAGGCAGAGGGAAAAGGACGAAAATAGGATAGGCTAGACCCTGACTCAAGGTGTCTTAGAGTCGCTAAGTTGTTTTCAACAATAGTAATCTCAGACTCTATAAAATATCCAGGGTAGAGTTGTGCCTATAAAAGCCTCCTTGGGAGAACAAAGTTAAGACTGCTACCTGTTGCAGACATTTAAATACAATATACTAATTATTTTTTTTTTAAAAGTGAAGGAGCAAATTCTCCTGTAAACTCAGCAGAACTCAGACACCAGAGTGCAATACTACTTAAGTATTTATCTTTTATTAATCAAGGAAATTTTGCATCAAATAAAATGGATCATAAACTAGCTACCTTGGCAATCATTTGTAGAATTTTATTTATTCATTTGTTTGTTTGTTGAGACAAAGTCTCACTCTGTCACCCTGGGTAGAGTGCCATGGCATCATCATAGTTCACAGCAACCTCCAAGTCTTGGGCTCAAGTGATCCTCTTGCTTCAGTTTTTCTATTTTTTAGTAGAGACAGGGTCTCACTCTTGTTCAGGCTAAACTTCTGAGCTCAAGGGATCCACCCACCTTGGCCTCCCATAGCACTAGGATTACAGGCACAAGCCACCACGCCCAGCCTCTTTGTTAAAGATTTTAATAGGTTATATATATTTTTTATATATCAAGAAATAAATATAGGGCCAGGTGCGGTGCCTTGCTTCTGTAATCCTAGCACTCTGGGAGACTGAGGCGGGTAGACTGCCTGACTTCACAGGTTCAAGACTAGCCTGAGCCAGAACAAGACACTATCTCTAAAAAATAGTTGGGTGTTTAGTGGGCACTGTAGTCTCAGCTACTCGACAGGCTGAGGCAGGAGAATTGTGTGAGTCCAAGAGCTGGAGGTTTCTGTGAGCTATGACACCACGGCACTCTACCCAGGGTGACTGAGTGGGACTATCTCAAAAAAGAAAAAGAAATGTAATCTATAAGCTTTCTTTTAAAATGAAGAATTCCGTAAGAATGAGAAAAACAGCACAATCTGCTTCCATCTGGTGGCAGGAGTTCATATTACAACTAGAGCTGTTTTTGTTTTTTTTTTTAAGAGACAGAGTCTCACTTTGTTGCCCTCAGTACAGTGCCTTAGTGTCGTCACAGCTCACAGCAACCTCCAACTCCTGGGCTCAGGTGATTCTTTTGCCTCAGCTTCCTGAGTAGCTTGGGACTACAGGCACTTGCCACAACATCTGGCAATTTTTTTGTTGCAGTTTGGCCAGGGCTGGGTTTGAATCCGCCGCCCTTGGTATATGGGGCTAGTGCCCTACTGATTGAGCCAGAGGTGCCACCCATACAACTAGAGCTATTTAATAAAAATGTATGTTGGCAAATGAAAGGGCTTTAGAATTAAGAGTCTCCTAGAAAAGGAAAAAGAAACATCACCGTCTGTGTCTCCATCTAGTGGTAGCAGCTTACACTACAGCCAAAGACCAAGACTGATAAATCAAGACACAAACTCATTAATTTCCAGTAGCTGACAGGTCATCAGCTATTTACAAACCTACTGTTTAAAAGAACATAATCCAATGATGCTACTGTACCCTTTAAAGAAAATTTTAAGAACAGACATTCAATTTCAAAACATAAAATATAAAATTCTTATTGAGCGTCCTGGAGAAAGACCAATTTAGTATCTTACCTGTGTAAAGTATTTCCCATCCTGTTTCAGTACTTTCATTGAGAGGTCAAGAATCAGTCTGAGAAACTCCCATGTGGAATCTGAATGTTTAAAAAAAATGTAACTTTTATAAACATGGGCCTGTGCACATCTACAACATCTAAAGTCGAATATTCACTCTAATCATCAACGTGAAAAAAACAGAAAAAAGAAAAAGCCACGAACTTAAGACCCAATATTAGTGAGCTCATTCATCAACGGTATAACGTATGGTTATATGGCCAGTACACGTACACACATACACACACAAAGCAAGGTCAAAATCAAATGTGCATCTACTTAGCCCTCCTCACACAATACCAGTAAAGATTTGACACAAAGGCAGTGGTTGAAATCTGAAAGAAAACTGCTTTCAATAAGAAAGCAAGGAGTAACATCAAACAAGAAGGGTCAAACTCAAAGGGGTCTGCAAACTCAGCTGGAAGTCAAGTTTATAGAGAAATCATTAACCAGCAGTGATTTGAGAAGGGGAATTGTCTCTTGTTGTTTAGCAAGGTCATCAGTTTACCCCAATATAGGTTTTTTAAAAAAATCACATAGTGACTCACGCCTGTAATCCCAGCACTGGGGAGGCCGAGGTGGGTGGATTGCCTGAGCTCACAGGTTCCAGACCAGCCTGAGCCAGAGAGAGGCCCTGCCTCGAAATGGCCAGGTGTTGTGGCAGGCACCTATAGTCCCAGCTACTTGGGAAGCTAAGGCAAGAGAATCACTTAAGCCCAGGAGTTTGAGGTTGCTGTGAGCTATGACACCTCAGCACTCTACCAAGGGAAACATAGTGAGACTGTCTCAAAAAAAAAAAAAAATCATATAACTTAAATAAATTGTCAAAACAATTTAATGTCCTGATGTGATGAGTCATTTTAAGCTTTTGTTTGAAATGGCTGAGTTAATTCTAAACTCATTTAGTGGCAGAACAAGAAATAAAGCCAAGTCCAAATCTAGTCATCTTTTCTACCACAGGCTTCAATTTAACTCCCTTTAAAAAAAAAAATGTGAGAACTTGAGTATCTCTAAGATCCTTTTATCACATGATGCTAAGGGAAACATTTCCATGAAAAAATCTTGGTTAAAAACCAAAACACAATCTACCTTCTTCCGGAGACGTAGAGATTGGAACAGCCGTCAAATCATTAATCACGTAATCAAACTCTCTCCCTTCTTTGGCGTACCTCTTAAGTACTGGAATACAGTCTTCTATTAGAACCTTCCAGAAAGAACAGGAATAAATCAATGAGCTAACACATGGACGTAGTTAAACAACACTAGTAAAGGAAGGAGAAAAATGTTAGCAAAGGACTTATGTCCACAGCAGTCGCCACATGAAAGTGGGGGGACTTTCGTCCATGTCTATCACAGAAAAACTAAGTGGTTACTCTGTACCGGTGTTTTTCAACCTTTTTTTAATCTCATGGCATACTTGAACTCATAGTTTAACTTCCATGGCATATTTAATACTGATGAAAATAAAGTAAAAGAAAAGAGTATACCTTTTATAATTTATTTATTAACACAAACAAAATGCACCATCACCACCAAGACTCCCCCAGCCTAAGAGCCGGAGGTTGCTGTGAGCTGTGACGCCACAGCACTCTACCGAGTGACAAAGGGAGACTCTGTCTTAAAAAAAAAAGACAAAATTAAAATTCTTCAAAAAACTTTATTTATATTAACTTTTCTATTATAATTTTGCATTTAATGAGATATCTGAGCTTGATTTTTTTTTTTACAGTATCTTCTTTGCAAGGTCTAATTTTAGACAGGCATACCCTTGAATCTTCTTCTAAGGTTCTAGGGGCGGTGCCTGTGGCTTAGTGAGTAGGGCGCCATTCCTATATACTAAGGGTGGCAAGTTCAAACCCAGCCTCAGCCAAACTGCAACAACATAAAAGATAGCCAGGCATTGTAGCAACGCCTGTAGTCCCAGCTCCTTGGGAGGCTGAGGCAAGAGAATCGCCTAAGTCCAGGAGTTAGAGGTTGCTGTGACCTGTGACACCACAGCACTCTACCAAGGGCAACAAAGTAGGACTCTGTCTCTTAAAAAAAAAAAAAAGGAAAAAAAATATATATGTATATATAAATTCATTTCAGAAAAGCTCACTTCACATAAGTATGATGCAGATAACAAAACAAGTATTTCGGCTTGGCGCCTGTGGCTCAAGTGGCTAAGGCACCAGCCACATACACCTAAGGTGACAGGTTCGAATCCAGCCCAGGCTACCAAATAACAATGACGGCTGCAACCAAAAAATAGCCGGGCGTTGTGGCGGGCCGCTTGTGGTCCCAGCTACTTGGGAGG